TTTGTACGTACATCTTGATTTCAGATTTAGGAGTTCTATCTATAAAATAAAAAAGAGCAAAATATGAAGTTACAATTGTTGTTTTAAATATGTCTATCTACTTCCAAAAGAAAAGATCCCTATGTGAGAAATCAGATGCCATGTAAGCTTCGCTGTGCCTTAATTCTCTCATTTTCCATCAAACTAAAAACTTTCTAGCATGGATTTCATGCCAAAGAATAAATCAAGGAGCTTAAGATGTTTCCAAACCAAAATGCAAACATGCCATCTATTGCTTTTGCACCTTCTAACATTTTGGTTGGCAAGCTATTTGATTGTATATTGTCTAGCAAGGAAATTCCTACATTTATTTCATAAATTGCAAATGTTAAATATTTGTTGTTGGAAATGTCAAATTTCACCATAAGTACTCACTATGCAATAATTATATCTGCACCCTAGGATATGTAACCGGAAAACTAAAAGAACATTAGAAACTGTTGGATTTTAGCTGTTCAGCTAACGAACATCAGCTCAACTAGTTCAAGCTTATATTTCACTTAAATGTAAAGATGGAGTCAAGGACAATTGGAAGAAAGAGAAAATGACCAGAATGAATAAAGAAACAATGACCACATACCGCTCCACGATGGTTGCCAATGTTCGGGATGATAATTTGAGATGCTTAAGCAGATCTTGGTCTGTGTTTCAAAACGACCATTCGGCTGAATAAAAATTCAAAGTTAAAGGAAATAACGTTAGCAAGATGTCAAGAAAACTCAAGCTAAAGAAACAATCAGATACCTTCTAAAGAAGTCGAAAGGGAAATATGTGATTACGGTTAAAAACATGAAAGAAGGTGGCTTAAACGGGTATTCAGCAGGCAATTGGATCCGTCCGTGATAGATTCCTCCTTCGAACTCAGTATCCCGAGGCCCTCGAATGGCGAACTGCCACTCGAAAATGTTTTCCTGGATGCCATGACATATGTCAATATGAAAAGTTGTGTTACATACATTCAACAATCGCAACAAAAATTTGGCTCATGAAATCTACTTCATCAATTTTAACTGCAGATAATTCTCAAAAGAAAATATCCAAATTCAATATTCTAATAAAATGTAGAATAATAGATAAAATAATCTATCAATCAAAACGTACAAGAAAAGAACAGACTGTTTTTTTTTTCCAATGTAGAGAACAGACTTAAAACACAAACCCATACAAACTATAGGAAATTCTCAAAGGCTTCCATTTTACAAAAAATATCAACAATGCTTAATCAAACATGCCCTAATTTCATCTGTGCCTTGTAGGAAAAAGCAATCCAGTTGTTCATCAACCAAATCCAAATGATCAACGTCAAATTCGGAAACTCAATCTCACCCTCTCCGAACAAGAACCATTCTCTCAATTAAAGTCAAACGATTTGGACGCCCCGGAACTCGAATCACAACCCAACAAGAGCGAGGAAGGAATGATCGCACACAAGATTCGGGCGTCGGATCTAGGTTTTTGGAAACGGATGGATGAGTTACCTCGAGGGGAAGGCTCATGAAATCGTCGGACGGGTTGGACTGCATCTCCTTCACCTCCTGGAGGATCCGCTTCACCGCCGGGTTCCTCCGGTTGTACCGCTCTTCCGCCATGTCCGCCGGCCGTCGGTGTCCCACGCCGGAATATGCCCAATCGGGTAACAGGAATCGGATTCGAGGACGAAATGGGGGGAGAAGAGAACGACCAGATAGATCGTTTAGATGTCGTCGGTCTCTTCGGATCATTATAATACGGAGAGGAAAGAAGTCGACGCGGAAAGACGTGTTTACTTTGACCGGAGAATCACGTGGAAATCATTCATTGGATACGCGTGTCATATCGGTGCTCTGATTGGCTGTTAAGATGTGGTGATGAAACAACCGACAAGAGTGTTAAAAACGTGTGCAGGGTTTCGTAACGTATCGTTATTTCCATTTCCGTTATTTTCATATAGCGACGGCCACATAATACACGCAAGTCGCCGCCGCCGCTGCCGCCTCGGTCCTTGCTGTCTGCGAAACCAATCGTTGGTGCGACGAAGTTGACATCGAGCTCTCACAAGGTTTTTCTTTTTCCTCTTTCCCCCTTGTTTCCGTTCCTGCAATCACGTATTGTGTAGTTAGGATCTCCATCGGTTGCCCGCCGCACCGTTTGATTGTGTTCTGGGCTCTATCGTCTGAAGATCCGAGATGGATTTACCGCAGCAGATGAGTAAAGGGATTCTTTTTGTTCTCGATTTTGTTTTTCTTGATTAAAAAGGATGATGAGATTGTACATTGAGCCTATCAATGAAAGCTTCTAGTTGTGATATCTCAAAGCGGCTGAGATGTTAGGGCTACAGGTTGTTGGTTGTTGGATGAATGGGGGTTGGCTAATGAATGATGTCGTTGTTGCTAGTTTTGCGTTGAATTCATGAGTGAAAGTCGGCAGGGTCAACATCTTGCTATTGCCAACCCAGATGAATTAATTGTCAAATATGTGGATGTCAGATATGTTAGCTGTGTCCTATCGAAAAAAGGGGAAACAAAAAGACGGTTAGAGATGAACATGGAAGCTCTTCATGATAAGATCTTATCGAGGTTTTTGTATTGGAATGTAAGATCATGGTTAAAAGGCAACATAAATTTTGAGGGGTAATTTTTTGTGGCTTTGTATGATGTCGGGTGTACGCTAGACTTCAAAGGGATGTTGACAATTTTCCTTCATTGGAACGATTGTTTTTTGCTTGAGTGGTTTTATAAATTTGGCGTTTTGGTTCAGAAAAGATATAGGAAAGTCTAGAAATAAAGCATTGTATAGTTCGTTAAAAGTAAGAATGAACTCTACGCAATGGTGGTGCAACTACAAATTAGTGCAAGTTATGTGGAGTGTGATGCATGTACTCAAGCTGATTTCTCTATTTTGAATATTTTCAAATGATTGAAATTGAATCATTTATGCTTTGGTAATTTTGGAAAGTCAAAGAGGTCTCTCATTATTGACATTATGCCTGTCATTTGCATGCTATTGTAGATAATAACTTCTGCTTTTTGTGCCAAACTAGGTGTGAATGAAAGCCTTCATCATTGTGATATAGGAATTCTTTCAGCTTTTATCTTCTTCCATTCATACACCGACACGCATACATACACACATGCCCGACCCCCACCCTGACTCCTGTTTCATTTATCCTCTTCTATTCCTCTTATTAACAGTGTGATGGATTGATGATTCAGCAGATTTGATCATATTTCTGACTGTTTCTTCAAGTTGCTTCAGGAGAAAAGAAGATCATGAAATCTTTTAAGTTGTTTTCAGTCAAATTTTCATTATCAAGAAATGAGCTTTTAGTTAATTGAAATGTGGAGGAAAACAAATGACATGGCATACAAATATTATCTAAGCATAGTATGGGTATGATAAAGCTTCAAAAATTAATTGTTTTAGAGAGTCTTGAGATCTCCACTAATGAGATGTGGTGCTTTTTATATCGCGATCATAGTGACAGAGGTTGAGAAAAAATGTGTGTGTAGATATTTGAGGGGTGGGCTCTAATTTGTTTGTTCCCATTGCTTTGGGGGCATAATCTGGTATTACAGTAATAATTAGCGATTTAAGCCTTCTGCACATGATAAACTTCCTCTTTTGTAAGATGTCACATCAGTAAGAGGTTTGGGCATTAAAAAAGGGATCATCATGGAGTCTGCAAGTTTGGAACAATGATATTCATGTTTACATGTCTTGTACATCCAATGAAAATAGAGTTTACCGTAGATATGTGATAAGTTTTGTTGATTAGCATAAATTGAATCAGTCATATGATAGTGGATAAGCAGGAATGGGAGGTAGAAATAAATAGCTTGTATTTCCTCTAGTTCTATATTTCTTTAATTCTCATAACATGGACTATTGTAGCGGTGTAACTTCACAATTTGAGCTTGCCTTCATGTATTCAATTAATAATGCTTTCACATGATCTTTTGATGGGTATCTGCATCCTTCTTACGACTCATATTGGTATCAGTTTTATTTTGTTTACATAATTGGACAAACTTTAATAGATAGTTTATCTGATTTTGTGAGCTAAATTCCAAGTGCTTGGTTTTGAGATTTCACTCTCTTCAACCAGACTTTACTAAAGTTGAGTGCATGAATTTAATTCTTGTGCAAAGGTTATTGGTCCAGTGCATGGACTGGGGGATAAGTAAATTTGTATCTATCTATATTGAGCTTTAAACATGCTAGCTGGTACCAGTACTGGATAATCTTTTAAAAAATTCTGACAACTGTTCTTTTTTCTGGGTCTTTTTTCTTCTTTCTCTCTTTCTATCAACTCTCTCTGCCCAGTCATCGTCTTCTCTCTCTCCTTTTTTCCTTCTTCTCTTTTTCGCTTTCTATCAGTGCTCTCTCTCTCTCTCTCTTTCTCTCTCTTCCCCTCCACCTCCTCCTCTATGGCACTGCTGCTGCTTCTTCCTCCCTCATAACCTCGCTGCTGCCTCCTCGTCCCAGTCACGCCACTGCCTCCAGCTAGTTGCGCTTTTACGTTTTTCTTTCTATCATGTCATCACTATATCCTCCTCCCTGCTGCATCGCTGCCGCGTCCTCCCTGCTGCTTCACTGCCACGTCCTCCCTACCCTATCACTGCCACTTGCTCCCTGCTGCATTGTTATTGCTGTTGTCTTCTCCTCGTTTTCCCCTCTTCTCTCTCTGGTCCTAGCAGTACCAACCAGTGTTGATCCATATCAATTATCAGTACAGCCTCATACTGGTATGGCTGCCAACCGGCAGTAAGACCAACCAAGATTTTAATTCATGGTTAAGGTTATAATCCAGATGGCATAATTTATGAAAAATAGTGTGACATAACTGAACTAGTTCAAGGGTTATGTTAACCAGTGGATATCATAAAGTTCTATAATCTCTATTGTCATATGATTTTACGTTGAAGCAGAATTGTTGTCATAAATTTGTTGGAACTAACCCTACTTGTTCTTTGGTCCAACAGTTCCAGTTTGTTGCTCGTGAGGCTTGAAGTTTGCCAGTACAGATGGCTGCTCATAAAATTGCACATGCAACTCTAAAAGGTCCTAGTGTTATCAAGGAGATATGCATTGGCCTTACGCTGGGTCTGTTTGCTGGTGGTCTGTGGAAGATGCACCACTGGAATGAGCAAAGGAAAACCAGAGCTTTTTATGACATGCTGGAGAAGGGTGAGATCAGTGTTGTTGCTGCTGAAGAATAGCCATCTGTGCCACGCTTTTGGTATGAAAGAAAGACCTGTATTCTGATCTTGAAATCTCTGAGTGCATTTTCAGTTGTAACGTGTAGTTTTTACTTTGCATACAAATAAGTTTTGGGTAATGGTTGAGATTTGCTACGCTTTTTATGTTCAGCGGTTGCATGAACTAGATCCATTCTTTTTCTAGATTTATCGTCGTCATTCAGATTGCTCTTTGTTTGAGCTAAAAATTGGATTTTATTTTTCTTTGTAGCTAATGTCAATGTTTATATGACCAGCTGTGTTTGCCACTGTTACATTAACACTTGTTGAGCTCCTGGCTACTGGAAATCTCTCTTCAGCCACTTAATGTTCAGTCATATGCACTTTGAGGAGTCTTCTGCCCTGATCTAATTCTCCCTTACCAGACACAAAAAAAAAAAAAGGGTAAGAACCTCTTTCAATATGCTTAATGCAACACAATCTTTTTTCCTTCAAATCTGATAGTGTGCAGCATGTCTGTTCCTGAATCATCCTCAAGGGTTCCTGTGAAACTAATGTAGTTTTGAACTTTTGCATGGTTTAGTAGCAGGAAAAGTGTGTACAAAGAAACTTAGAAGTGTCACAAGGGAGAGGTGACTTGCATGAGTTATTGTAAACACTCATCTTAAGGTTATGGAAGATCATGAATCAGGTAGTAATTATGTGTCCAAGGGAGCAAAGTTTTAGCATCAGGTCATAGAGTTTTTCTAGTTTTACCACTCTTAAACTAACTTATTTGCTCAGCTTAATCTTTTTCAGTCTTCTGCAGGTTGAGTGACCAGGGATTGTGTTAATATAGAAATTGTGTCCATTAATTCTTCTTAGATTCTGGAATGGCAGAAGTCTCTTCATCCATTCAGCTTAATCTTCTGCACACTAGGTTCATGTTTGAGGCTCAGTCAAGTATCAACCATGGAGTTTCCTTGTGATTACTGGACCACTTGACCCCATCCATGGATGAGTTACCTCCTGGGCCCTAAAATGGTGTTTGAATAGAGTTTGTGGAGATCCACCACAGTATTTCCAGACCACTTACTTGCAGCCACCATATTTTTGACATAGTACACAAGCAGAGGAGCATATATAATATATATATGTTACCTTAAGCAGTCATTGATCTCTATATTAGGAAAATTGTGTTACTTGTTGGTTCTCTTATAATTTGATCAGGGTGGGGCTATTGACCTCTATCATTATATCATCATGTTATAAGCCCTTCATCGATTCTAATTCTCTGGTTCACTCAGTCTTGTCCTCTAAAAACATCATGACTTCTTGTATCTTGATGTCATTGTGGAGTGTTACCTCAAGATACTGATTGTAAGCTTACCTATAGCTATATCAACAAGCTAAAATACTTAATCTGCTTTTGAGCATATTGTTTATTGATGAGAGTTTCATATTCTTGAAAAAGATTATAATTATCTAATTTAATAATTCTACTATCATTAATTTGGATTTAATAGAATTAATAGAGAAATCCCCGATTATCACGAAACCATCGTTTGTCATAATAATAAGATACATTAAATGGCATCTTAATCAGAAAGATGATGATGTTTGAGCCACGAAGCAAGCAGAAACAAAGGGTGATGATGTGGTGTTCTTGAGTTTGAGTTGGAACAAGTAGGATTTTTTGTTTAGAACATTAAACATAGATGTTGGATTTGGTGCGGCCGATCATTGGGTGAGGCCGGACGTACCTGCCGCCCAGAACGGAGTTTGAGTGGGTGGAGGTCTCGTGAGGGAGTGCATGTGAGAGAGAGAGAGAGTACTTACTCCATGCATGGGGGCAGCAATGTAACCTGCAGAGAGATCCAACTTGTCTACGAGCTCTGCGCAGTAGCAAAGGAAGCAGAAGAAGGAGCAGCCGAAAAGACCCCCCTCGTCCTCACCACAGACTGCTGTTCCCACGTGAACGCCTCTTCCGCTGCATGCGGCCCTGCCGAGCTCGCTGCTTTGGCCGCAGGTAGGGAGAGCGGGAAGCCGCGCTCCGCCTTGGCCGCCACATCTCATTGGGTGTTGGAACTTTAAGCGCCATTAAAGAAAACAACACGGTGAAGGAAAGCATGAAAGCGATGTTTACTATTGTCATATCAAGTTCCCAAAACTACCTTCCACTATTTGAACAGATTAAATTAGTCTGTGTCAAGTAATTTGGTTATCAAAGTTAAGGTTTTACCATCATCATTTGTGCTAATTATATTTTTTAATTAATTATCTTTAGTATTTTAATTCAAAAAATTATATTAAGTTTTTTATATCTATGAAACTGAAATATTTAATCATGTTTCTTTCTTGTCTATGATTCTGTTGACGAAAATATTACACATATTATCACACATAAAAAATAAAATTAAAAAGATAATTTTATAATATTATTTTATAGTTAAAAAAATCAGAAGAAAAAAATATTTTGTTGGAAAATGAAGTCAGACAATCCTAAAAATACTTAATTAGAAGGATCTCTCTTATCATCCTATTTTCTCTTTATCTATCGATTGTCGTAGAATTATTAATTTCTTAATTATTATTTTCATACAAGTTATAAAAAAAAAAAAAGTTAATATTAATATGAATAGTATTATGAAATTGTCTTTTTAATCTTATTTTAATATCATTTTCTTCGTATGACAACACGCAGCAAAATCGATCTTTTATAAAAATCAAAATAATATTCAAATATTGGTGCTCATATCTTAAAGTTTCAGAAAACTTGCAGAAAATTTCTGCTTGTTAGAAATAGTGTTGAGACCAGTGAATGGTGATATCCATTTACGATCAGCTCAAAAATAAATATCCATCGTTTTTTTCTGTCTGCTTTGCTGTATACAAACTCTGGAGTGGCGTCTCAGCACCAAATCTAAAGCCTGCTTTATTGATGCATGCCACTCCTGCATATCTTGCCCATTGTCTTGTTGCCAAGTGCAAACATATTAGATGGGAGGGATCCATCTTGAGCAATTGCGGTGCATCCAAAAGAGACTTTCTGCATGCAGTACAGTGGCCTGCAAGACATGGAGCTGAAAGCTGCGTGCATGGTGAGTTCACTCCAAAGTTCTGAGTCATGTAGTACATGCAAGCCTGCAAAATTTCAGAAAGCCAGTAAATATTCCCTGTCTCCAAGACAGTGCTATGGGCCACCTATCTCGCATAATTTAAGGCTGGTCTATTATCTCATGTTTTGTTGGATGATAAAAGAAGGCAAAACACATGTCAAACTCAAAGGCAGCTGTTTTCAGAATCAGAACATGGAACAACCTTCCTCATGAAAAAGTTGCCCACCAGTGGCTGTGAGATGAAGATGATGGATGCCTGCAATGGCCTTAGGGCAATGATTGCTATCTATCTTTGACATATATGCTCAAGAAATGAATGCTAATTCTGGTCTAGTGTTCTATAAGATTTTATTTTCTGTTAATATCTTGTGAAGGATTATTTTCTGAAGATCAACCTGAGATATATATCAAAAACCTTGGTATGAATGGTAAGATTAACTAACAGTAATGGGTTCTGAAATGATTTTTAGGATGAGAGTTTGGGATTTGTCATTAGAAACCAAGATGATCATCATATGTTATATGATCAATAAATTACTTTAGAGGGATTTAATAGGTGGAATCTGATTCTAAGATTTTGATGGATATTCTAAATGGAAGAATAATCCTATTTTAAATGTAATTATGAAACATATTTGTTTTGCTTAAAAACTGAAGGAAACATTATATTTTTTATGTACACAGGGAGGGAAATCAGACTATAAATTGACTAGCAAATTAAGTTAGAATTTTCAATGGAAGAGTTTGGAAAGGGAACCTACACACTCTATATTTTGTTTATAATATAATATAATATAAATATAATATAATGCTGTGGACAAATGATGCATTCATCTTGAAAAGTAATATATTGTTTGTTTATATGAAGAATTAAAAACAATAGGAGTTGTAAAGCACTAAGACAGAAGCAGCCTACCTGAGGAAAACCCAGTCAACATGAGCACTGAGAGAAGGGTCCCTATTAGAGATTCCTAATATCAGACATGAGATGTGGGTGAAACTGTGTTGATGATTGATTTGTAGAGTTCTACTCAAAGGGTTTCTCCACTCTGCATCATTCATCTCATTTAATAGTGTGTGTATATATATAAATGTCATTGAATGAAGTACAGTGTGCATTATTAGGACAAATCAACAATATAATCTGATGAAAGGAAGGATATGATAGTGGATGGGGGGGAGGATAAGAAAGATGGGTGATGAATGAATTTTATTTTAGTATTAATTTACTCATTTATAAGAATAAAAAGATACTATATTTTTACATGAAGGAATTAAAATTTATGAATTATATAAGTGAAATGAGCAATTTTTAGAATAAATGTATCATATAGATAAGAGAGAAATCGATGATATAATTTGATGAAACGATTGTATCGATCTGTAAAGTTACTCTAATTATTGAATTATTAAGTTGATATCTCATTGTAAAACACCATGAAAAAATACTGATTCAAGGAAGAGAAAGATATGAAATGAATGTTCCCAATAATCGATTAAGTTTTATGCCTAAAAGATCGATCACATGTACTATTTGTAGAGAGAAAAATCGTATAAGATTTTTATTAAATAAAAAACTTTATGATAATATTTTTAAAGTTTAATATAAAAAAAAGACCATAGGGAGTATATATATATAACGCTGTCTTTTCATAATAATGGATGTATTTATTAGACATATAGATAGGACTGATTATATATTTAAAAATAAATTTTATATTATATATCATATGATTTAAAATGGGAAAGTTTTGTACGACTATCATATTATCTTTAGTGGATGATTAACACAAGCATCATTATTTATGGTCACTTGTGGTTGAGGCAATATTCTTGGAATCATCTCAGATTAATATATTTTATTATGATTTAAAGTGAGATAAGTAATTTATTGTTTCTTTAATATTAAAGGTTATTGTTAGCATTCGAAGGTGGCATAAATGTGAGCACAACCAACCATTTAAAGCTGTAATTAGATTATATAAATTGGTCAAGATTGATGATCCAATAATAAATATTTTGAATGGCAAAAGAAGATTTTGATCGAAAAAATAATTAATTATATATTGTCACGTATAAAGAGTTAATCATGTTTCTTCTCATCCGTGGATTATGTTGACGGAAATACATATTGATTCTATCTCATATTAATTTATTATCGTGTATGTACGATATTTTTATTAATAAAAACGTGAGACGAAATAAGATTAAATATTTTATTTTTATAATTTAAAAAAATATATAAATATTAAAATATTAAAGATAATTAATTAATATAATTAACCCTTTGCATTGTGACAGTATTTTATATCCTATTACTTTTGAGACTGCCAACAATGAGGAGACAGAATCTCTAAATGAAGTGAGTAGAATTCAGTAACCTGCATTTAATTCAAGTGAAGGAGGGGTGAATCCAAAAGCTTCTGAAAGAACAGTAAGCTCTGTGATGGACAAGCAGTGGTAGGGTGAGAATAAATGCGGGAGGATAAGAACAAAAAGAAGGGGGAGGGAGAAAAGATGGGGCTCGTGTGGTCGCCATCGTCCGTCGCTGACGGGGACCCGAGCGGCGTCCGCCATCGCCACCACCTCCTCTCACCCGAGCGTCCACCTCCTCGGTTGCCTCTGTGGTGGTAGGTTCTCATGGTCCCTGACCGCATGCGTCGAAACGTTGACCGCCGTGAACAGTGTGGCGACGAGCGCTGGGGATCCGTTCCTCTTAGGCTCGCTCTCAGGCTTCGTCCTCGCTCGATCAAAGGAGTACACGTAGAGACGAGACCTGAGAGAGAGAGAGAGACGGGGGGAGATTTGGGGTGCAAGTCCGGTTCCATCCATGTACGTGGTATGACGTACAAATTTGGAGGTGTTGGGCTTTGATAATCGTGCTGTGGGTGTGCTTCTTTTAGTTCGATAGAGAACATCAAAAGATAAAAGAGAGTGTAAAGCATGAACACTGTCTCCATTTACTTTTTATTTCAGCCCAAAAATATATATAATGATAAAAGTAAGTAAAAAAGGGTTTGATATTAAAAAATAATTTAAAGATTCAACGATCGTGTATTAATTAAAATATAATTATTGTAAGATTTACTTTTTGAGATCAAATGTTTAATTTCACTAAAATGAGACTTGGAATTAGGTTGGGACAATGTCAATCTACAAGAATAACTAGACTCGTCCTTTTTTTCCCTACGTATCCTTTACATAATTAATTACTATAAGTGATAAATTAAGAAGTAAGAGAGAGATTGAGAATAGATTTGTAATCTCGTATTTCATCCGTACTTTTTCTTTATAAACATAAGCAAAGACTATATAATAATAATTAGAGGGTTCTTACCATCAAGAGAATCTCATATGAAATCTTATTATAATTAGATTTCTTTACTGATCGATAATGATAGTCAAAATTCAATCAAATATCTAATATATCTTATCTAATTAAATATGATATATCTTATTACGTAAAATTGATTTTACGAGTAGTTCATTTAAATAATAGTTCTCCCGTTACCTAAAAAAAAATCTATTATTATCTTTTTGGAGTGAAATGAGGGAATTTTCAAAGGTCAGTACAAACTTCAAACACCTTCTTCCGTACCTATGCTCGAATTCATTATGATCCCAAAATATTTCCTTAACCTTTTGCTTAAGCAAAACATGATGAGATCAGTGTGCGAGTTTATAGCTCTCCCAGATATGTTCGACGGCTTTAGAGACCCCAAGTCTCATTTTTAAGTAGCTCATCAACTTTGCAACATCACTTTCAGCAACAATGTTCAGCTTCCTTTCTCTTAATACTTCTCTCCCGATATCATCGATAGCAAAGATTACTTTATATTGGAAAGAATAGAAGATAAGAAAAATTATTGAAAAAGCTTTATTAAAGAAACTTTATTGAAAAAAACTTGAATACCTCATATTTATACAGATTAGGAGGAGGAATGATTTTACTCAACAGAGGATTTTCCTCAATAGAATAAAGAGATTTCCTCGTATAATTAGAAAAATCTTATATGCTATCACTTTAAAGGAAATTTTCTTTTTTTTTTACCTTCACAAAATACGACATTGTAAAAAAATAAATACACAAAATAAAATTCCAGTCTCGATTTTTTACAATGAAGTTATCCTTTTTATCTTAGTCAGCCACAATGGGAAGTATGCCATAAAATAGACCCATTTTGGGTGCAAAATCCACAGGCAAACAAATGAACTATATTTAATAGCACGGGAATGTTTTCCCTTAGGCAACAGCTCGGATAGGAGTAACATGAGTTTCTGTAGCAAGCACCAGCTTTGTCTCACAAGTGATCATTAGTGTCGCTGGAATGAGTACGAGTAGAGAAAAATTAGATTCGATCGGTATTATTTCATATGAATTGTGTTTACCTTATTGATTTAATTTCTTTTAAACGATATAAATGATTATTTTTGGATTGTAATCGTTGAAGGTATGTGGCTGGCGTTCTGATCCATCGGATCGGATCAGTGTATGTGTTGGCTTTTAGAAAAGTATTGTGACTTAGTAATTCTTGGATGAAAATTAAATGAATGCATCTTACGTTAAAAGGTGATTAATTATAGATTATACATTGTATTTAGATCCTATTAATTGAATAAAAGTTGAGGGATGACTAAGACGATGATGTCATATATCAGTTAGAGCTGTGATCAAAGAGTAGACAGCGGGTTGGATGATTTGTGGATTTGACGACTACTTGAATATTACGATATCTCATCACGTAGTTGGAGAGATCTTGACTGTTATCATTAGTATCGTAGTACTTATACTGGATCCTCAAAGTTTAAAAAATTAAATTAATAATCTTATTTATCTTAACATTATAAGCTATATTGATGAAAAACATAACATGTGATCTTACATGTACTTAATTTGGCGAAAGTGAAAAAAAGATAATTTTAATATTTTTTTTTATTTTTTTATAATTTTATTGACAAATGATAATTTTAACATGTGTTGCAAACGAAAATGATATTGAAATTATTTTTTTATCCATAACTTTTGTATGGATCTAACGTACATGATGTCATTTGTGTTTTTTTGTCAATACAACAAATGAGGTTATTTGTTTTACGTTTAAAATTATAATAATTAGAATATAAATTTTTTAAAGTACAAATATCATAATACTAATAAGGTGCAAGTATAAAAAGTAATATCTAATTAGCTCTTTAAAAAAGGTATAATGAAATAAAAAAAGAAGATATATAGATATGATATTTCTATTCATCACCATTTTATAGTTTATAAAATTATAAACCATATACATAAATATTAATGCATCAGCATGATTTTATTGCGATAACATTAATCAAACTCCAAAAACTTTTGAGACTCGAATTTGATTATTAGTGGCCTAACATAATCATCCTTCTTTACAGGTGCTGAGAGAGAGAGAGAGAGAGAGAGAGATGACCCCAATAACGAGGGAAACACCGGCGAGTCTCCGGTAGAGCTATCGGCTACGAAGAGTGCAGAGTTCGTAAGGCTATCGAGTAGCCAAAGAAATAATTATAACCGCTCTTTCTCTTTCGGGGAGAGAGAGAGAGAGAGAGAGGGATGGCCCCAATACTGAGGGAAACACCGGCGAGTCTCAGGTGGAGCTATCGGCTACGAAGAGTGCAGAGTTCGTAAAACCTATCGAGCAGCCAAAGAAATCATTATAATTGGGCTTTCTCTTTCCTTCTGCTGGCAAGGATTTTACCTCGAATGGATCACAAGAAGTACTGCGGTGGGAAAAAGCGAACTCCGCTTCCAGGTGAGCCTGAGATTAGAATAAGTCCAGGGAGGTAAACCAGGCTTCCCCCTAAAAAACCGCGTCCTCGCTCGAGTTCTGCTGCACCCGCCGCACAAATTATGACGCGAGGCAAGGCTTGGACTCTTGCTTTCCACCCCTGCTGATTTGTTCCTCTGCCAACAGTGTTTACTGTTTTCTCTCTCTCTCTCTCTCTTTCTCGCTCATACGCACGATTATAAGTATGTAGAAGTTGGATCGTGTGTTATTATTATTCGTAGTTGCCAAGGGAGAAATCATCGGTAGTTTTCTGAACAGAAGGAATTTGTATGAATGCTGGGAGGAAGCGGGCATGTATCCATGCGTTAGAAGGCTGGGAAAACCGATCGGACGGGGCAGCAGCAGGTCGACGCGCTGTTGATGGCGCGCGAGGGCAGGGAAGGGGAGAAGGAGAAAGGTTGGTACAAGAGGCTCACATGACGACCAACGCAGTTCCCCATGGGGGGGGCACCTGAGCCGTCCGATCAGGCCGACGCCAGCTGCCCACCGGACGCGTGGCCGGACGTGACGTCTCCGTCAATGATGATGGGACGGCTGTAAATACGGGCGGTCGCTCCCGTTCCCCATCTCCTCGGCCTCTTCCTCTCGCCCACTGTTCCTACCACTGTTGGGTTGCATCAAGGACCGTGATTCCACGTGCGCACCCTCCCCCTTCTCTCTCTCTCTCTCTCT